AACCCGTGGAGGCTATCTCTGGGAAAAGAACTGACTTAAAGGACACACTCTGGTCCAAGCAAATTTTCTTTATTATTATTATTATTATTATTATTTTAAACCACGATGCTAAATTTCCTAAGCTTTTATTTTTTATTTATTTATTTATTTATTTATTTATTAACGTATAATGTATTATTAGCCCCAGGGGTACAGGTCTGTGAATCTCTGGGTTTACACACTTCACAGCACTCACCATAGCACATACCGTCCCCAATGTCCATAACCCACCACCCTCTCCCTTCCCTCCCCAACCCTCAGTTTGTTTCCCTAAGCTTTTAAAAATAAGCTTCACTAATGTTCCAATCAATCTGGAGAAGAGAGATCCATACATATATTGAGAATAAGGAACAAGATTTATCTAGGAAAATCCCAGATTCATGAAATAATGAAACTGGGGACAGATGATTAAATAGGCAAAATGTTCTCCAAAGATTCCTTTAAAGAGAACCTGACATAGAGTGTCCCCCGCCCTTTGTTATTCACAAAGAGCATATAGAATGTCCACTCTGTGGGAGACACTGGACAAGCCACCCTGTAGGATTTGGAGGTAGACTGGCTGGCCCCCTCAGGGAGCGCTTTGCTCAGTGGGAAGGAGAGGGATTGCAGGGGTGTGGCCGTGGGGGCCCAGGAGAGCACCCACAGCAGACTGGAGGAAGGAAAACAGAAAATGCTCCCAAGGGAGTTGCACCTGGGAAGTGCACTTGGCTGTGAAGTACTGCCCTAGGGTGACTTCAGCAAGCTACTGCAGGTTATGGGTGCCTTGGCCTTCTCATCTTTCAGAAGGATGTGCAGATTAGTTCCAGAAGTGCACGGCTTTAATTTTCTCAGTAGGACTTATTTCCCCACGGTGTTAGCGAAGATGAACTTAACTCCTCAGGTTCCTATTGGAGTGAAGATTAGGAGGAGGGCTCAAGCCCAACGAAACTTCCATGGTAACACACACTTTGGGAAATGGAGTGTTCCCTGTATCCCAGTGATTTCAAGGGGCCTTCAACAAATCTCAAATTAGGCTAAAGAACAGATAGCTGAGACGTGAGCTTCTCAGTTTCCTAACCTGAGTTCAAGAATATCAAACAACCAGTCTGGGGCCATACCATCCTGGACACACACCCCATCTCAAGGAATCTGGGAAGCTTGGCCGGGTCAGGCCTGGTTAGTACTTGGATGGGAGACTATCAAAAAACCAGGAAGGATATAAAGAGCAATTCTTCTGTGTTCAGTGTTCGGTACTGAATTGAAGGAAAACCTGGTCTTTCCTTCCTTATTTATGGAGAGTGAAATTGGAAAGCTTGGCCAATGGTAGCTTCTCCCCAGAATTTGGTTTAAGAGTCACAATATCAACTTCCAAGGCTGTTTGTTTTGTTCTTTTTGTTTTCTTCTCATTTTGTTTTAAGATTATACTATGGTCTATTCTTTGGGAAAGAACTGGTGTTGTTTTATTTAAAAAAAAAAAAGTATAGTTTACAATTCTGGGTTGGGTTTCCAGGGTGTTACTCAACTTTGGGTCTCAGCTCTGTTTTTTGAGCCTGAGCAAGAGTTTTGTTGAATGCTTATTGAAATCATTCAAATATAAGGAAAACTCCACTTCCCAAACTGCCTGTTAGGGTTGAAGGTTTGATTATGTTTGAGCCCTACCCCCAATCCCATCTATGATGAGTGCAAGACAACCACACAGGCCCTAGGAAGGCACTTCCAGACCACTAGATTAAGAACTTTACAGGGTTCCTGGGTGGATGGGTTGGTTAATCATCTGCCTTTGGCTCAGGTTGTGATCCTAGGGTCCTGAGCTCTCTGCTCAGTGGGGAGCCTGCTTCTCCCTCTCCATTTGCCTGCTGCTCTGCTGGCTTTGGTGCTCTCTCTCACTCTCCAATAAATAAATAAATAAAAATCTTTAAGAGCTTTACAACTGGCAGGTGGGAATCGGTCCTTTAGGAGAGAGAGAGAGAAACTGAGAGAAGAGCTCGCAGACAAAGCCCACCCAAGACAAGGCCTTTATTACAGGTAGCAGGACAACACAGAAGGGGAGCTCTTAGTCCCCAGCCCTTCTGTAGATTCGGAGCAAAAAATGTTTACCTGTAATACTGCTCTCCCACTCCACTCACCTGTTGGACATAGCTACCTTATTCTAAGAGAGAAAAACCTGACTTCAAAGCACATGTAACAGAACCCCCCCCCCCATCAGCTCTGATACTCGGTGTACCAAGAGATGGAACAGTTCACCGGTTCAAGCATGCTAATGCTCTTTTATGGAGAGGGTGGAAAATGGGGGCGAGTGGCAATTTAGGGAAGGGGGAAGAGGACAAAGGCCAGCAGACACAGCAAAGTCAAACTGAATGGCACAGGCAGTCCTCCTTTTAACTTCTCTAAAAGTACAGTCTGGGTTTCTGGGGGCGAACCAGTTAGCTTCTTCTGCTTTTTCTTCCCCTCATACTCTTTAAAGCTTCCCTGATCGGCCCCCAGACTCATTTGGGCCCTAACTGGGCTGGTTTTAGTAAGTAGGGGGCCGACCAAGGACAAGGCCACTTGTTCCTTCCTGAAGGACTCCGTGGTCATGTATTACATTTCTAACCCTCACCAAGTATGCCTCTGGTCACATGAATGGATCAAAGCAAATCCATTTGCATTCTCAGAAAAGCAGCTCAAAGCACATGTTTTCTTGATGGTGCCGCTGTCATTTCTGTGTGATCAACAAACATCACCTATTGAACTCCAGACACTACTGGGAGATAGAAAGATGGATCAGTTGTTCAAGGCAGTGAAGATCCCTAGCAAGTGATACCACACAGCAAAATATAATCCCATAAGTTTTAAAAATTGCATTTACTTCTTGCTGTCCCGCTTTGTATTATGCTTGCCACCTGCATCTCAGAATCTGGCGGTGATGAGTTCAGTAGAAGGCTCTGGTTTTGGCTGAGGCAGTTGGGCAACTGAAAACTACCATCTTTTAAAATAAAAACATGACCTTTCCTCTTCCCCACTTCCCCTCAACTCAGGACTGAGTCAGAATGTTGTACTTCATGGGTTGTTACTGGGAAAGAAAGAATCCAATCTCTTTGGATTACCTTGACCTATAATAATTATAATTACTGTTTTCCAAGTTTACCATATGCATCTAGTGTATGTGCTTATCAGAAGGAATCCTTAAAATACAGTTACAACAGTTAACAGTTATCTCTGTTATGTGGGCAAGAAAACTGTGGTTTCACCTGGATGAGAACGCTAACACAAAGCTGGTAAGATGTGAAGCCCGGATTTGAACGGGTGTTTGTCTGACATGAACCCCAGCCTTTAAACATATTGTAATAGTTCAACATATAGCACTCAAACTCAAGATGGACCCTCTTAAGGGTTTGCAAGGAACTCTACCCTGTGCAGAATGTCACCTGTCTGAAATATACCAAAATCCCCTTTGAGGTGAAATTTGCATCTGTCACTTGAAAGCATTACAGTGTCAGACACTCTGGAAGGATGGTGACCAGAAAAGCCAAGTTATGTGTGTGTGGTAACATTTCTTTTCCATAACTGTGGTACGAAAAATAACCACAAGAACAAACTTCTTCCCTTCCTCTTCCAAAGGCAAAGAAGGCTGCTTCTTGGTCTTCAAACAGAAAATTCTCCAAGCCTCAAACCTGGGGCTCCTGAAAGATGCAATAAAGACTAGAGACCATCAGGGGGATTTCACGCAAGAAAAAATCCTCAAGCAAGGGCACTGGTAGCGATGAAAATATGGCAGGTGTGCGGGCGTTGTGTGCGTCTCTCTCTATACTATACAGTTATTATGTATCTGTTGACAAGCATGTATTTCAAGATTGTGTTCACAGACACATTTTCTCAACCGTCATAGCAAGGCTGACAGGAGGAAGGTGTACCGATTCGAATTCTCCAGATTAAAAAGAAGGCACGATAAGTACCTTGAAAAGGAAACCAAAGCATTACTTTCAAACATTCTAAAATTTGGACGTACCCTGGGCTTCCGGGAGGGGGGGGGGGGGCACGCGAAGACCTCACTTTTCTTTCAGCTGCCTTTGGGGAACAGTTCGCACCCAGAATTTCAGATCTGGTGGGCGACTCTATAGTCCTCTCTCCAAGGGCTTTATTTGCAGATGAGGAAGCCTGGGCCCAGAGAGTCGCTGAGAGACTAGTCTCGCAGTGTCGGAGGCAGAATCTGACAGGTCCCCTGACCGTTCCTGTGCCCGCCCGGATCCTCTCCAGGGCGGAGGACTGAAGGGAGAACGCACACTGCTGTTCCCTTCCCCAGCCCCACGGCGAGGCCAGGCGGGCGGGCGCGCGCGCTGCAGGCCCCGCTCCCGCAGGCCCTCCTCGGGCCGCCCCCTCGGTGCCCCACCACCGCCCCGGCCGCGGCCCCCGCTCCCGCACCGCGCCTCAAACCAGACGCCAGCGCCGAGGAGGGCTGCAGGTTCTCTAACAACAAAAGGCAAAACGACGTCCCCGGGGATCAGAACGTCCTTAGGGAGCCTTGGGGCCTGCGGTAGGACCTCGAAAAAGACAGGCCTCTCCTGCAAAACTATCCAACCTGAAGGCGGCAGGGGCGGAGGCCGGGCGGTGTGCGGGGCGCCTCGCTCGGGCCCGGGGGTGGGGCCTGTGGGGTCGGCCCCAAACCCGCGGTGGGCGCGCCAGGGCTAGCGGCAGCCGGGGCAGGCGGGGTCCTTCCTGGCAGGAACTCGCCTGTCCGCGCGCCGCCCGCCTGCCCTTCCTCCGCTCCCCTCCCCCCGCAAGCCCCCTCCCCCCCCAAGGCCCTTTCCCTTTCTTTCTTTCCCGGCCCTCGAGTCCCCACCCCGACGGCGCCGGCTCCACCGGTCGCCCAATGGCAGCTGGGCCCGGGCGCGCATCAGTCGATCCGCCCCGGCTCCCGGCCGCTGGGAGCCAATCAAGGTGCCGGGGGCGGCCCGGGCAGCGGATAAAAAATGCGGAGCAGCGAGCAGCCCCGCAGAGCCGAGAATGGGCGAAGAGGGGAGCTTCTGAGCAGCACGCCGGCCTCCTCTCCTCACCTCACCTCGCTCTCGAGGCCTGCCCGTCCCGCCGCCTGCTCGCCGCCCAGGTAAGCGCGCCGCCGTCCCGGGGGCTGGAAGTGGTGCGCGCCGCCCCTGCAGCCCCCGAACCCCCTGAGCCCGGCCTGCCGACCCCGCGGCTCGGGGCAGCCCCTTGCACCTCCGGTCCCTACGGTGCTCCTCTACCCCCGCGCCCTCCGCGTGCTCTCGCCGCCCGCGGCTCCCGGAGGCTCTGGGCTGGCGATTGTGGGGTGCGCTGCTCGCCGGGCTCGGAGGAGGGCGGGGAGTTGTTTTGATCTCTTTCGCCGCTCGCGGCCCTAAGCGCCGCCCCTGGAGGTCGCTCTGCGAGGCGAACGGTGGAGCCGCTGCTCGGGCCCAGCGCTCCCACCTCGGCGGTGTTGTGTGCTCCGCGGTGGAGTGGCCGGGTGGCCCCTGGGAGGCTCGCTCCTGCTCCGCGGTGGCGGGCCTTGGAGGATCGTCGTGGTTTGGAGGCTCTCTAGACGCCTACGCGGAGGCGAGTGGCCGTGAGGGTCGCTGGTACGGGCCGCTCCTGCGCGGGGTCCCGGGGGCCTTGCACTGTGACTGAACAATGGGGAGCCCGGGCTGCGGTGTGGCCGGCGGGCGCCGCGGGCGGAGAGGCCTGGCGGGGCAGAGGCAGCGGCGGTGCGCTGTCCCTCCCCCGCGACATCTCCACTCCCTCCCAGCCCCGGCCCTCGGAGGGATATGGCCCCCTCGGCCAGGCCTTGAGATCCAGACCGGGGCCCGAGGGGCAGGGCGCCGACTTTAGGGACGTTTTAGTGGGAAAGGGCTACCCTCAAAGTGGATTATCCCAACTGCCCCGGGGGCGGGAAGCGGGTAACCCCCCCCAGCCGCAAATCCGCGAAGACCACCAACAACGAAGATGAAGACGAAGAAGGGGAGTCGCGGTCCTCGGAGTCCCCCTCCAACTGCTTCGGCTTCGTCGCCTACTCGATGAACTCCGGAGAGAAATCACGAGTCAAGATTAAGACCGTGACCCACCAGCCCTCGTATTCCTCCTCGTCCCGATGCGATCCCGAACGCGCCCTGACCCCTCCTTCTCCGTCTCCGTCTCCCTCGCCCAGAAAGCTCCGGTGCATGGACCAGCGAGAGCCGGAGAACCAGGAGAGCCGCGAACGCAACTCCAAAAGGAGAAGGGCCAGGGAGGGCTACCCCAACGATCCGATTGACCTTCTGTGGCTGGGGTGAGTGAAGAGTCAGGGAGGAAGACCCCGGAGCCGGAGACAGCTGCAGAAACAGCTAGAAAGTGCAGAATCCCATTTTTACCCTGCATAAACTCAGGGCACCGCGTTACGAGTCGGTAACAGTAGACTAGAATGTTGGCATCCAGCTCGTCTCACGGAAAAGAGCAGGAAGTCTGGAACTGAGGCTTAAAGGGACAAAGTGTGGCTGGATATTGCTGGTGGTCACAGGTTGGGGAGGAAGGGCCGGAGACTAGGTTGTAGGCTTTGTAGTGGGCGCTGAAGGCGTCAGGTGGTGTTCCTTCCGGCCTTTCAAGGCAGGGGTGGCGGAGGTTTGGGGGATGTGTGTGACCCACGGAGACCTCTGCACGCGCGGTAATACAGAGGGATATGGAAAAGGACCGGTTCTGCAATCCAGTGCTGGAGACCAGACCAAGAAGGTTCTGCTCTTCCCCAAGGGAAGGGGTGAGGCTCTTGGAGGGAGAGCAGTTCTGTTTTCAGCTGGGCAAACATGGACGGTTGCCCATAGAAACTTAGCCACTGTACTTCATAAAGTTGCCCAAGTCGTTGGAGAACAATGTGTTCCTTTTCCAGCCACTCTGGGCCACTGAGCTTGGGGGAGGGGAGCGGTGTCCAACATTTCCTCTTGCGTTGGGTTTCTCTTGTTTCAGAGGTTTTGTGGTAGTGGCTCGCAGTTTTTAGCGTGCCCAGCTTTAAAAAAAACCAGATCTTTTTGTTACCGAAGTGGGAATTTCCTCATTAAAGTTCTCTGGTGGGATCTGAGAATGTGCTTTGCAAATGTAGATCTACCTTCTGAAGTGAGAAGTCCCGTGGAAACGATGGCAGTGTGCTTGCTGCTCAGAATCCAACGCAGATCAGCTCTTTGATACTTGGGGGATTTGCAGTTGTGCTGCTGTTAGGAGAACCCCACCAGGCTTTTGCCTACTCTAGCTAGCTCCCCTGTTTTCTTCTTCCTAATGTCTCAATGTGTGGGGGTGCTTTTGGGAGAGGGGAGAACCTCCGCAAAGGGTTTTTCACAGAGGTTCCGGCTAGAATGCAAGGAAGAGAGGAGATGGACCCAGACACCATAGCAGCCCAGCCTTTCTGTGGCTGGATTTCACTCATATTGGGGGAGAGAGACCTTCTGCAAATGCTCTCTGAACTTTAGTGTTTCACCCAGTGCTTTAGTATAAAATATAAAACGCTTGCCCTACCTTGGCTACACTGACAAAATAGAGCTTAGTCCTCACAAGTGTGGATTCTAGCTCAAGGAAGCCTAGAGGGAGATTTTGTCTAGTACAAAAGCTTAAATGCCTCTGAAAGCAGCATGAAGAAGTATACCGTGGAGAGTGGCTTCCAAAGGAGGGGATGACATTTCCCATCGGGACTCTTTGCTTTAATTGTCTTTACTGAGTCATTCCTGCCAGAGGAACAGTTTGGAGTTGGTAATCATTTTTTGGTTGGTTCTTCTCAGCAGAACAACGTCCACCATGGCCACCTCCGCGAGCTCCCACCTGAACAAAGGCATCAAGCAGTTGTACATGTCCCTGCCTCAGGGCGAGAAAGTGCAAGCTATGTATATTTGGATTGACGGGACGGGAGAAGGATTGCGTTGCAAGACCCGGACCTTGGACAGTGAGCCCAAGTGTATAGAAGGTGAGAGACTGAGCAGAGTGGGAGCCGTGGGGAGGGGTGGGAGCAGCCTGAAAGCAAGCCACTAGATTTGGCCACTTTATTATTCTGTGTGTCAAGCTTTCCTGAGGCAGGGTTTCTCAGACTTCATTCATTCAACGCTAAGCTCCTCTGCTGCCTCAAAGCGTGGCAACAATGGACCCCTTTATTTCAATAGAATCTTCCATGTAAGCCAGTATATTGAGGAAAAAAGATTAAAAGTTTAGTTGGGGCAGGAGGGGGTTGGAGACTTTGCTGACTTGGGCATCCCCACTTAATTCGCTCTGAGGCATCCCCAAGAACCCAGTTTGAAAACCACTGTTCTAACCTGACTATGCTTATCTACTGTGTAAACTCTATAGAGTACTGTTTCGGATTCCTATCAGTGAGGTTCTGGATGTGAAGCAGACTCTATGTGAAGTGGTTTCCAAATAGGACTGGCCGATCATTTGTTTCTGGTTGATTCTACTTTTGGAAATTCTTAAACCACCTGATTGCTTATCACACTAGGGGCTCTTAGATAAGAGTCGCTGTGACCTTCATTTTTCAGTCTAGAGCAAACCGTAGCCGCCCTCCTGGAGGGGGACTAGAGAAAAAAATATCACCTCTTACCTGCTTTTGGGATGGCTTACTCTTCTGATAGTAGTTACACTGGAGTGAATGCATAAGCATAAAATTAAGTATATGGCGTGTACTTGCTTCGTGGCAGGTATTAGACAGGTGCTGGGGGAGGGGGTACAAGGTAAGAGAGTCTGATCTCTCTGCTTTCGGAGAACTCCTAGTCAACTTGAGAGATGAAGAAACCCACCTTTAAAACATAGTGAGGAAAGTCGATAAGTGATCATGGGAGCACCATTGACCACTTACCCTGCTAGTTATCCATTTCCTTGTCTATAGAATAAGGACATGACTTGAGCTAGAACAGTCCCTAGAATCAGTGGGGAGATGAGTTAAGCAACACAGGTGGCCTAGTAGGGGAATCAGAATCTGTTTCTCTTGTTCCAGTTTTTTAAATGATGATTGACTTCCTGGTTGTCAGAATATTTCAGTTTGTCTCCTTGGTGTCCGGTAGACAGACTTAGGGAAGATACGTCGGGCGTTCCTTGGGTGGTTGATGCAGTGGTCTGTGCAGCTCCCACAGGAAGGACATTCAAGCCATGTGCAGTGGTCAGAGTTTGCATATGAGTAGCAGGAATCCCACATCGCTGACTTTCTGGAAAGAAAGTGTAGATCTTTAGACGTGGGAAGGTTAAGGAAGGGGCTGTATTCTTGTCTAAAAAGCTCTGCATTTCTAAGTTAATTTTCCCTTCTCTTTTTACCCCAGAGTTGCCTGAGTGGAATTTTGATGGCTCTAGTACCTTTCAGTCCGAAGGCTCCAACAGTGACATGTATCTTGTCCCCGTTGCCATGTTTCGGGACCCTTTCCGCAAGGACCCCAACAAGCTGGTGTTCTGTGAAGTCTTCAAGTACAACCGGAAACCTGCAGGTGTGTATTGGAGAGGTAGGGATGCTCCCTCCTTAATCCACGAACGTTGTAAAGGGGAAGTACAGGAGATCCCGAAACCAGTACTGGAAACACTAAACTAGATGAGACGATCTCAGGGTTCAGAACTGTTTCAGGGGTCTGGGTGAGTGGACCTGGATCTCCACTCCAAACTTCCTCATTCACAGGTGGGGTGGTCCGTCTACGCAGGGTCTCCTCTACTGGTTGTGTAAATAAAACAACAGTGAATTCCTTTAAATCTGTCCACCAGTAGAGCTCCCCCATGACACAGCCCTCCCACCTGCCTCTAGATTTGAAAAACATCGATTCTGAAGTTCGAATGGTGGGTTTGAATTCTGGATCTGTCACTTAACCTGGCTTTGAACCTTGGCAAACGATTTATCCTCTGTCCTTAGTTTTCCTGATTTTAAAAGGTGGGGTGGGGGATAAAATCCATCTCCTGTCTGGGTTCACCGATAACCTACATGTGCCTCAAGTTCACTGTATCTGCATTTTTGGCTTTTGCCTGGCGTAGCTGTTGATCCTGATTCTCCGCCAAGCATCTTGTTACCATAGCAGAAGCCCCCCGTCCTCCCTGCTGTTTAGTCTCTTGGTACGCTCTGCCAGTGCGACTTGTGACGAGTCCGTCCATGCCTGGACCTTAACTGCCTTTGTTTTGGGAGGCAGTACCATTCTGGTAAAGGGCATGAGCTCTGAAGCCAAGGTAGCTGCCGCCTTCCCGGTTCTGCTACTCGCCGTGTGAGCTGGGCAGGCCTCCCGGTGTCTCTGAGCTGAGCTGCGTTTTCTCCTGTGTGGAAGTAGAGGCTTTACTCTGTCCCTCAGGGTTGCCAGATAGACTCCTCTTGTGGGTTTTCCATAATGCAGAGGTCTTAAAGTGGTGTTTTGGGATATAGTTAAGCACCTGATAAGAAGTCTGTATTTACTTCTTTTAAAGTTCTTTTCCAGCTTAGACGTCTCCAGCCGAGCTCCTCTCATTTTAATATCTTACTTCTGTGCTACACCTGGAATGGGAGGCCCCCAATAGACCAGTGATTTCTCTCCAGGAAAATGACAGGTTTGGCTCTAAACGCTCGAGAAACTAGGGATAAGTCTGACCGCTAAAGCGGCTGTCTTGTGCACAGAGAGCTGAAGTGCCTGACATGTGGCACTTGGGAGGTGGCCAGCATGCAGATAAGGTGCAGACCTGCTCTGTTGTGGATCCGGAGTCATGGGGTTTGTTTGTGATCCAGGAGTCTCCCTGCAGATGTACGATTACCACTTCGCCCATTTTCTTTTCTTTTTAAAAGATTTCATTTATTTGACAGATCACAAGTAGGCAGAGAGGCAGGCAGAGAGAGAGAGAGAGGAGGAAGCAGGCTCCCCGCGGAGCAGAGAGCCCGATGCGGGGCTCGATCCCAGGACTCCGGGATCATGACCTGAGCCGAAGGCAGAGGCTTTAACCCACTGCGCCACCCAGGCGCCCCTGCTTCGCCCCTTTTCTACATTCAGGCTGATGGGACACAAGGTTTATTATCCTGGGTCAGTTCACCTGAGAGTCCACACTTCAGCTTTGTGGAATCCAGAGCCCTTTGCCCCAGCAGCACTGCCATTCAATGGGTTTGCCCATATGGCTCTAACGGTGCCTTGACTCTTTTTTTCTAGAGACCAATTTGAGGCATACCTGTAAACGGATAATGGACATGGTGAGCAATCAGCATCCTTGGTTTGGAATGGAGCAGGAGTATACTCTCATGGGCACAGATGGGCACCCTTTTGGTTGGCCTTCCAACGGCTTCCCTGGGCCCCAAGGTATGTCGTCTCCCCGCCCCGTGAGATGGACCTCCTGCTCCCTGGTTGCTTCGTTGCCAAGGACAGACTCCCTCTCCAGAGATGATAGTGATTCCTCATGGATCAGAAAAGCTGTGGGCATATCACTGAGGCTGGCTGGTATAACGTGGAGAAGAGCCTTCTTGTTACCCAAATCTGGACATGGATTTTTATTTTTTATTTTTATTTATTTATTTTTAAAAAGATTTTATTTATTTATTTGACAGAGATCACAAGTAGGCAGAGAAGCAGGCAGAGAGAGGGAGGCAGGCTTCCCACTGAGCAGAGAGCCCGATGCAGGGCTCGATCCCAGGACCCTGGGATCATGACCTGAGCTGAAGGCAGAGGCTTTTTTAACCCACTGAGCCACCCAGGCGCCCCCAGATAAGGATTTTTAGACATTAATATGGAGGGAAACCCTTTGGGTCCACTGACGTTATGACCAAGAGGAACCCCCTGCACGCCACACCCCCGCCTCCCTGTGAAGGCAGGGATAGTGATTCCAGAAACAAGTGTTGAGAGCTTTCTGATTTCTGAGTTTTGTGGGAAGGGATTTCTTGGTTTCCTGTCTCTTAACCTTTCATCTTAATGCCTCTGCAGGTCCATACTACTGTGGCGTGGGAGCAGACAAAGCCTATGGGAGAGATATCGTGGAGGCTCACTACCGAGCCTGCTTGTACGCTGGCATCAAGATTGCTGGGACAAATGCTGAGGTCATGCCTGCCCAGGTAAATGATGTGTTCATCTGTAGGACATAGGGGCCAGTGGGGACATGTACTGGCACCCCTCATTTACCCAGAACTTAGGTGGGTTGGAATAGAGGTGAGAAAAGAACAGGGTTTGGAGCTTGTGAATTGGGGTAAGAAATTGACATTATTTTTAAAGGCCAGCCATGTTGTTCTCTCTAGTGGGAATTCCAGATAGGACCTTGCGAAGGAATCGACATGGGAGATCATCTCTGGGTGGCCCGTTTCATCTTGCATCGTGTATGTGAAGACTTTGGAGTGATAGCAACCTTTGACCCTAAGCCCATTCCTGGGAACTGGAACGGTGCGGGCTGCCACACCAACTTCAGCACCAAGGCCATGCGCGAAGAGAACGGTCTGAAGTAAGTGCCTTCTTGTGATGGGGTCGTCTTCCTTTCTTTGCTGGCACACTTGCCGAGGGCTTGATGTGTTGGGACTAGTAAGGAAGCCAGACTTCTCCATTCGTACCTTAGCTCTTAGCACTTGGCTTTGAAAGTTACCTTCTAATTCTCTTGTTTTGTTCGTATTTGAAGAGGACCAAAACATACTCTAGGAATAGAATCCAAGAATAGCTGTCGGAAAGGGGGACCTAATTTAATGGGTTTGAAAATCTTCAGTATGAAATAACTTAGTAGCGATAAAAGCACTGAATGAACTTAATGTTTCTGGGTGGGGCAGGGTCTTTGATTAGGGTCTTTTCATTCAGCAAATACCACCTACTGAGCATCAAGCACCATGCTGAGGCCCTAAGCGGGACACACGGGTAAGAAGGCAGAGTTGCTGCCCTCATGGATCCTTTGATCTGCGGGGACAGCATCTTAGTGAACAGTCTGATAGATGAGTCCCGTCATGCTTAGTTCTATACGTGCACCTGCCACTGAAGGGCAGATTTCCGGGTGCCAGGTTGGACCCCCGTCTTTTCTCCTCCTAGGTACATTGAGGAGTCCATCGAGAAACTGAGCAAGCGGCACCACTACCACATCCGAGCCTACGACCCCAAGGGGGGCCTGGATAACGCCCGGCGCCTGACTGGATTCCACGAAACGTCCAACATCAACGACTTCTCCGCCGGCGTGGCCAACCGTGGGGCTAGCATCCGCATTCCCCGGACTGTCGGCCAGGAGAAGAAGGGTTACTTTGAAGACCGTCGCCCCTCTGCCAACTGTGACCCCTTTTCCGTGACAGAAGCCCTCATCCGCACATGTCTTCTCAATGAAACTGGCGACGAACCCTTCCAGTACAAAAACTAAGTGGACTAGACTTGCAGCCGCCAAACCCCTCCTCATTCTCTCTCCATCCTGCCTTCATGTTTGCCCCTCTCTCGACCGTCCTAATAGCTGTAACTCAAAGGGCGGAATATCAAGGTCTTTTTTTATTCCTCATGCCCAGTTAATATCTCTTTGCTTCCTTTGGCCAGGATAGAGGGGTCAGGTTCTTAATCTTTTTACACCCCCGCCCCCCATCTTTTTTTCCCTGTCACTGATGCTGTCTAGTACCTTAGTGGGGAGGGGGTGGGGAGGCATAACCACTGTTTGCAGTTAATCAGGTGTGTTTGTCCAGTAGGCGTAGCGATCCGGACAGAGCATAGTGTTTGTGAAGGGAGGGGGAGGGCTCTTTCTTCCAGCTAGCTGAGTGTTGGGGGAGGGGGGGTTACTTACTTACTCTGGGGTTAGGTTAGGATTTCCCCCTCTTGGTGGGGAGTTCCTCTTGGTGTCAGGTTATAACCAACTTTCTATTAAAAGTGAGACTTAGGAGAGAGCCAGCAGTAAATGCACCCCCGTCCTCCTGGTACAGGGCTTCCCTCACCCAGGCCAAAATGGCCCTCCCCTGAAGACAAGCTCAGCATAAGGATGGATTGACCTACCTTAGAAGAAAAAGTTCTTAACTGCTTGGTCCTTCATTTATAACACAAAGCAGAGTAGTATTTTTATATTTAAATGTAAAAACAAAAAAAATTATATATATGGGTGTGCAGATATGTGTGTTTTTTTTCTAAAGGAAGAAGAACATTCTGGTCACCGGGGAGCCAAACTGGAGACAAATAGTCTGGTTGGAAATAAGGGATCTCTTCTTGAGTGGGGGTGAGGGAGGCAGTGCTTGCAAAGCTGGCTCTCTGGGGCCCTTTGCTGTTCCCTTGCTGTCACTGTAGGGTCCTATGTCCTCTGCCCACTCTTCCGGAGGTGGGGGTGGACACCTGGTCGGGTTGACAGGTGCAGGCACGTTGTGGAAGGAGCGCTCACCTGAGCCCCGCAGCTTTGGTTTAAAAGACACACATGCCCACACGGATTTAGAAATAAGAGTTGGCTGGTCAACTTGAGCATGTTACTGACAAGGGGTGATTGGGATTATTTTCTGGTGGGACTAGCATGTCACTAAAGCAGGCCTTTTGATATATTAAAATTTTTTAAAAAGCAAAACCAGAAGTTTAGATTTTAATCCTGCTCATAGGGTTTCTGAGTCTCTTTCTTTTGACAGAATGGCTTGTTGGCTTCAACGGTCCCCTTCGCATCTCCGCTCTCTGAGGAGACGGGGACAGCCTGGAGTCAGAACACCGGTCGTTTTGTGTCCTGGTGTTGATTCTCTGAGTGTGAGATTCTCCTTCCCTTTGTTCAGATTTCTGAGGAGTTTCTTTTTCTTTTATAATAAAAAGCAAACCCCACCTTGGTCCCTCCCATCTTCCCTACGGTGTCTGGCTGTTTTCATGTGGTTCCTGTTCGCCGCCCAGGCCAGCCGTGGCTTCCTCTTGCCGTGACGACTTCTAATTGCCATGTACAGTATGTTCAGCGGTAGACAGCTCATTGTAAACAGACTGTTAACTGCCCAGAGCGGCTCTTATAAATCAACCTAACATTTATAAGATCTCTTCTGACTTGATTCTTTGTGTTTCTTTTAATCCCTATGTGCTTTTCCTTTCCTATGCAAAAAGGGGATTTTTTTTTTTTTTTTAAGAGACAAAGGAAGCTCAAGTTTACTTGTTCAAGGAATTTTTAAAAAATTATCCTGAGTCACACGGCCAACCAGTTCTTCCCTGTACTTCGGGTGTTGGGAATCTCAGGATGAAGGCATAGCCCAGCTGTACAGTTTAGTAGGAGGATACAAACTCCAACCCTCCTCTCTGTGCTCCACACCTTGGCTTTAACTTACAATGCCACAACATTGTCTTAAGCACCCCTCTGGCTTAATTTTAAAGCAGCCTGAAACTGTTAATGTGTTACAAAGGCTTCTCATTTCTCTGCTGGTCTTGAATTCACCTTTACTCACCTGCCAGGGATGGTTCTACATGGCCCATATTGACCCCGTGGCTAACCTGGTTGAAGCCTTCCAAGGTTGACTGCTCTCAGGGCCAGCTAGCCGGGATGTGCCTTGGACATGCCTCCCCTGGCACTAGCCCAATGAGCCGCTCACGATTCCCCCCAAAGCTCCATGTGACACCTCTGTGCCCTTGTTCTTCGTCCCTTTGCTGGAAAGTTAGTTTTCTTCTCACCTTTCCTGGTGTATCTTAGTTCATGTCCATGCAGGTCAGGTAGGAGCTCCCTTCGCTATAGCGCTGTGCATGTACCTCTAGCCAAAAGCCCTGTTCTTCCAACCCTTGAAGCTAATGTGCCAGGTATTGTGTATGATAAGAATTACCATCTTTAAAAGATGGTGTCCTCTATGATAGTTTGGAAGTAGGTGGGTCCTGTCACAGCAGACTTAGAGATGACCTTTTTGGGGGGGGGCAGGTGTATATTTTGCTCTAGTTGTAAGCAATCCTAGATATTCGTGTTTGTTTTTTCCCTAGGAAGTTTGGCTCCCCACATTTTCAAAGTTGGATGATGTTATTGCTTTGCTGGGTATGGTTCCAGTTTATATTGGCTGTTTTCAGCATGATTATCAAGAGTGCCCCCTCTCACTCAGCATTCTCCTGGTTTTGCTGATAAATTGTGGGGTTTTCTTTCTATGGAAGCTCTACTTCCCCCTTCCCAGCTGAAATTGGTTTCCGTTCACTGGAGCACCCTTGCAGTCCAGGGCGGGTGGAAGGGGACATGGGAGGGTATGTTATCTGCACCACAAGCACCAGATCAAGGCAATGGCCCAAGCAGAGTTCCCCAGGAAAGATCACACGAAAAGGAACTCCAAATTAATGGGATCAGACTTCGGTGGAAACAAGTTTATTTCCTTCTCTACCCTCTCACCTAGAATTAGCTTTGACCTACAGGTTGCGGTGTAATCCCCTTGTATTCTAAGGTGTTTTTTTTTATAGCTCATTTAACAGACACTGGGTTACTTGATAAGTTATCAGTGATAGATTAAGCAGAATGGCAGCCAAGTCTTCAGCCTTAAAGAGACAGAGGCTAGTGTTCACAAGTTTCCTCAATTTCCTCCTGCCAGTTACTGGGTAGGAGCTCAATGACAGCACAGGCTACTAGAGGAATGTCAGGGAGCAAATGGAGGATTCCGTGGCATTCCTTGGATGGTCACATTGGGGCCATTTAACAAGGCCGATCTGTGCTCCTGGGGGGAGCTCACAGGGGAACACTCACATGTGAGCATGGATGTTCCTGAAAACACCTGTGGCTCCAAGACTTCAAATATCTTACCGAAGTCTTCCTTAGATAATTCCAGAAACTGCTCGGCCCTCACACCAATGAAGTCAAGTCTAGAAAGTAACTTGCTATCCTAAAGAAAGCCCATCCCTCAACAGGACTTTCTGATTATAAACTTCAGGAAGGCAGGGGTCCTGTTTTTCTCTCAGCACTGTATCCCAGGCCTGTCGTGGTGCCTGAGCGACTTGCTTAATGAATTATTTTTAACTCTCAGTTTTGTAAGTTCTAAGCCTTTTGGCTCTATTGGTGACATCAAACCCATGAGATCTCGGTGGTCTGGCTGTGTTCTAACCTGGGTCATGACACCAAAGCTAAGTTCTGTTTCACTGAGCTTAATGACTGCTTGCGTAGTTCATTCTGCCCGGATTCAGGCTGCCAAGAGCCTTGTGTTGCTTTATGAGTTATAACTAATAGGAAGTGGCAATTCATTATGTAATTCCAAAGGCTTCAGGTCAATTGCAACTGTAAACAAATTTGAGCTGACTAGAGCCCTGCCATTTTATAGCCTTTAGCTCAATCACCAACCATTCGTTTAACAAAATGTCATACTTGATCTTACAATATGCAGATATACACACATTCCCATGGGCACAGACTAGCCATACACCGTATGTGGACATGCATATATGTACACATCAGACACGCGGTACGGGTCTCCTACATGAACCTTTTCCCCAAGATACAGCATCTTATGAAGGAGACAGGGACTTAGGAGTATCCCTTCTAGAAGCAGCACACCCGCAGTAGAATTCACCGGGCTGATAAGCCGTCACTAGGATTGGGAAGTCACCGGGCTGATAAGCTGTCACTAGGACTGGGAAGGCAGGCCATAAAGCTGTTAAGTCTTCAAGCACGGTTCTGCGGCCAGCTCTTTCTCTGCTTTAGGGATTGGAGATTTTCAGGGACTGTCAACTTAGAAGGATTTGTCTACGGTTCACTGCCCAGAGCCCTCTGATGTCAGGGACTGGTGTCGTAGTTCCACATTCCCAAGGGGTGTGGATGTGGTTCCTACTGCCATTTCATGAGTTGTTTTCTGGGGGCCTTGGACGTCAGCAAATTGTCCTCTTTCTCATGAATTTCAGGTTGAGTTACCTGCATTGTCTTGGGACGGCAGCTCGTCTCGGTTTGCTCAGCTCCTGCCCCCTGTCTACTGCCTGGTCGGCAGACCAGCGCACTTCACTCCAGGGGCATGGACTCACAAATCTAAGCTCTGCCTGGAAGCCTTTCTGCACTTTCAGTAAAAGTTCAGAGTAATTCCTTCCTTGGACTATCATATGACTATTATATTGACACTAAATGGAAGAGACGTTCAAGATACCTCCAAAATGTAATAAAATGGGCACCATATAGACACTATTTGGTGTATCTGACACAGGCATATGAATGAAGGGGTCAAATGAATGGAAATTTTTCTCTCTCCTTATGCCCTCCTCTTCTTATAGCTAAAAGAATGTCATTGGCATCACCAACCGCTATGGGACTTCTGGTCCTATCCTTATATATACTAGCTTATCCTCAAATGATTTTGCAAGCTGTTTTGATAACTCAAATAATGTTACGTATAAAGAAGTACAGTATTATATTGGTAGAGGGGAGAGAGGAGGATTGGGTTTTTTTTTGTTTGTTTGTTGGGTGGGTTGGTTAGTTTTGCTCTTGTATGGGAAAAGTAAACACTTGTCTCTGGGAAGGAATCTGTGATT